CATCGCTGCTGAAGCATATGTTGGTGGGCTTCCTGGAGTTTTTTGTAAGAAAGCTAGCCCGTGAAACGGGCTAGCTTAGTCCATAACAGTCATTCAGCTGGCTGCTCTGCTGCCTTGGTATTTCAGAGGATGAGCTTGCTTGCAGGTCGGTGAGCACCGCCTCAAGGTGTCCCTCTTGGTTCGGTACACAAGTATGCAGAGAACGATACGTATACATCGACCTCTGGCTGCTGCGTGCTTCGCAAGTGCAGCGTCGGAGAATCAAGGGTGCTGCGGATCACAGCATCGTGAATTCTGACAACACTGAGGGCCGAGGTATCGACATTTGTTGCGTTCTCTATGGATGTCGGCCTGACAGAGAGCCCGGCAATGTCGCTCTGAACAACGTTCATGAGGCATGTTCAACGGTGTGAAGAGTTTCCGCTCAGATATTTGTGACTGATAAACGATACATCGAACGGCCACAATAAAAAAACTGTATCTGTAAATAGTTCTTCAATCCATCCTGTGCACGACGGAGAAAAAATCTTCCTCTTAAAGGATAGAGAAGTTATGTCATTCACACAACTAAACATATATCCCTATAGTTATTTTGTTTTTTCTGGAATGAAAGAGATTCCCAGAAATTTCAATCTTGACTCAGCACTGACCAGGTTCGATACTACCATTCCGAAATATTGTACTCAGCAGAGAAACCTTTCTTTCGTTGCTGAATTATAGGACTTCCCGATCGATGTAATGGGGGACGATGGGATGATTCCCTTCAGCACACGGTGTTGTGCTAAAGGGAATAATGATAATGGGCACATCCCTGCTAATTAGACTCAATTGGATAATTCTCTCGTTTCTCTAATAAGAGTGTCTAGAGATGTGAGTGGGGAAAGAAAACCCCGTCAGTCCAAGAAGAAAAAGCATATTGTGTGTAATAGAGCAATTTCATATTAGTAGCAGAAGCTAAAACTCCAAAAAAAAAAAATTTCAATGATGGGATGAATTCATTCATTGACATTCGATGATACCCAACGTAGTGCCAGTAATAGTGATTGAGTAATATATACTTTGGACTCTAAAAAAAATCCAATACCTGGGAATGGAAAAACTGATCCTGATGGCATGTTTACATTGTTTTCTCAATCCGGAACTTCAGTTATTTGGAAACTTTGTGTGACGTGTTTTAGGTCTTCAGACTTGTCATATTATTACTGACATGGGACAAAGTTGAACGATCTCCACGTCTGTAAACCTAAGTAAAATATCCGCACACTCCATGCAAAAGTCCCCTCTATAAGATGCCGTAAAATCTGAGAGTGCACAAACAAGCTCACTTTGAGCACAAACTGCACTACAGTACGTGATTAAAGTACTTCTTGTTAACAAAGTCTCTCAGCGATTTCAGGGAATCCTTCACAGTGTGCAGTAGTGGACTTCTTTGCAAGAAGCAGGCATGCTTAACCCCTGCAGTAGGACACTGGTCGAAAAGACCAGCCCAATGGCAAAAGCAAACCGTGCATCGGCCGGGAATCGAACCCGGGTCTGTTCCGTGGCAGGGAACTATTCTACCCCTAGACCACCGATGCTGGATGACACATGTCATGTTACTTAAGATTCAATCTTGATCAACATATTTCAAGAAGAAAGAAATTCAGTCAACACATTGTCGTAAATATGATGTTCTTAATTCAATCAGCAAATCACTGACTTAGCCGGGGCTTTTCCTAATCTTGCAGTTTAAATTTTGTACATTCAGACTAGACCTCGTCAAGGTAAGTTAAAAGTTAAACAGGTAATAAAATGTGTTCTACCTTTACTCTACCCGTATCCTTACCACATTGGTTACGCTTTACTTATATCTTTACTTTACCTTTTAACGGGTAATTACCCGATAAAAAAAAAAAATACATGTTACCTTTAATCTATCTGTTAATCAGATAATTGCCCAATAAAAATAAAAATACACTTTACCTGTATTTATTCATCTATGTTCTTATATCATCACATTTGGTTGCAAATGACGAGAGTTTATGATGATAACTTCTGAACATCAATATTTGGTTCTGTGAAATTCTAATGAATACAGAGAGTATCATTTTGACAATAATAATTGAAAAGTCAATCTCTTATCTAAATAATATATATAAGATGTATACATATTTTTTTCCTAATTTTTCAAGATCTTTCCATACAAAACATGAAAAAACTATTTGCGAAGGACGTGAATCCTACATTATTTTCTATCATTTTATTCAAGAGATGACTTAGAATATACAGGGAAAGCTTGAGCACCAATAGACAGTTGTACTATTTATGTAGATAAAGTAACAAATTTAGCATATTTGACAACTGGAAGATACTTTTGCTCTGATATAGGATTTTACAGGTATGTATAATTATTATTCTAGAAGCCACAAGTTTTCTTATGTGCAAAAAATTGTACATATAAATACTGATAACTTAACAGATAATTATTCGGGTAAAGAGTAAATAAATAAGCATTACCTTTACTCTACACTCTACCTCACCCATTCATCACCTTACTACTTTTACCCTGGAGTAATGTACCTTACCTTGCCGAGGCCTAATTCAGACCCTCAGAATAATTCATAGCTACAGTATATCCAGGGAGAAAAGATTTGTTGAGATCTCTTCCTTACAATACGCTGTACCGATTTATCTGTATTTTTGAAAACATATAAAAAATCTAACCAAGATAACATACAATAATTCAAATCATATTCATTCAAATTCGAGATATTCAAGTACATTAGAAGATTCGTTCTTATCAACCAGAGTGGAATTTTCAATATATACTTCCGTGAGGTTAGCAAATAATCAACCTAAGAAGTCTAATCTAGCAATGATTTAGATAACTATATTTAGCAGGAATATGTAGGTTCACAAATTCATGCAGTCTATATGTAACGGCATGAAAATTACGAAGAAAATAACTTTTCTTCCATGAACAAGAGTTAGATAGTTAACTCTGATGTAAATCACAGCTAGCAGTAGGTCGGCGTAAGACTTTTCAACGTTTGTTCCATATCCAACAAATCACAAAATTCTAACTTTGCAAAATGCTCTGATATTCTGTGCAAACCATTCACTTCGATAAACTCATCAATTGGATAAAACTTCCAAGCAATCTGGACAAGCTTAATTTTAATATTACACAATACTTATTTGATATAATCAAAGTTAATGTCATAGTGTTTCATTGTGTTATTTATAGTTTGATTTTTTGCAATATGAAGCGCATTCTGGATACCAATACACAACATACTCAATTTTGGTGTATTTTCAGCAAATAGAATTTTAAAATATGGATATTAAGGTGTCCACATCAGGATCTTAGAGTGTCTTAGCTGTGATGCAGTAATTCAAGATTGAAAAGATGACAAAAAAGGTCTGTGGGGAGTTTATTATTTGTTATGTTAGATATTCATCAATTAAGAGATACTTGAATGTAAAAAGTTGTCTAACAGAACGCCCAAAAACTAACAAATATCTTTCGTAACTTAGGTTAAAGGAATTTTGAAAGCAAAAACAGTAATTATGTGAAATTTAAAAACATAGATTTTTTCAACCAGAAATAGATATTATAAAATCGATTTATTACATGATATATCAAAATTCTCCTCATGTGAATAATTCATCTCAAATTTTAATTTAACACTTATTTTATAATTACAAGAAACGATCCATCATCATGTGTTGTCAATCAAATGAACATCAAGCCATGTGACCCATTCTTGCATTCGAGAATATTTACACATTCACATGTGAACAATAAAATACAGATTGATACATTAATATTCTCACAAGTTTATCATTGAAAATAGTAACTAGTGTGAGTAAAAAAATATGATGTTTCATTAACCAGGATGCAATCAATTATTTGACAGAAGACAATGGGCAGTATCTGTTATGAATGAACATACAACTTTTGACAAACTTTTGATTTATATAAGTAGATTTTTGACCTGTTGTTTGATTTGAATGCCAACAGAACAAAGAAAAGAAAAGAAATTATGCTATTATTTGAAGCTAAAACGTGTTTCATATGATGTAAAAAAAAATCTAGAAATGATATCAATTGTATCCACACTATTTCCATACATTGTAAGGATGTATAGATTTAAAATCACAAGATAAGAAGATAAAAAAAGTGCTCAAAGTGACTACGTGGACAAATATACTATAGATGAGTGTCTTGCTTAGATGATGAACTGACTAACCACGTAAATTGACATAGAAATGTGTCTACCAAAACTCTCGTCATATGATCAAATATCTTTGGTCGATGATGTAATTAAATTCAAAACCGATACACTTATCGAACTTGAAAGAAATGTATATGAAGTGAAGCTTATGAAAGAAGTTAGGTGAATGGAATATCAAATGGTGGAACATAATATATCAAATATCACGTGCACCGTGTATAGTAAAGTGATGGAATTTATGTGAGCATCTTGATATAAAGAATACTGCCAAAACCACTCAAAATAATATCATACTCAAAGTTGTAGCTTTATATTTGAGGAGGTAAAAAATAAAATGAAAACATTGTCATGAATAAGTTATCATAATCTGGGACTCGTGAAAGTATTGGAACTCTACTTTCACGAGACTCCTAATTGGCATGAAGTAAGGCGTAGGTCTTAGTCGGTATTGAGTTTTGTATTCTACCAGATGCAGTTGTAGGACCGGTGCATTTGCTTCAGATATTCGACGACGCTTCCGTGGCCGTCGATGAGGAGGGCAATGCTGTACTGTGGTAGTGACGAGTACTGTGCTCTTCCCACTGCGTCCGAATGCAACAAACGCCATTCAACAATCCGATCCGATGGCTGCAGGAGCATCGGCTCATCTACTGGCGATCACTCGTCGCCCCGACTATCCTGTGGGCCAGCCGCCATGGCGACGAAGGCGAAGCGGAGGCTGCTCTGCACCCTCCGCTTCTGATCCCTCGTTTCTTTCTTACAAGTACACATTTTGAAACCTTCGCATTTACAAGTCCTCGCCCATCGCAGTGTGGATCGCAGGTTCGGAAGCCTGGCTGCAATCTATTCGTTTTCGTGGAATCGCACGTCGCGTGTTGGTCGAATGGGAGGAAACCCTTCCGGCCGCCCATGCGGGAACTACGCGGAAAAGTGTAGGAGTATGGCCACCCACCGAGACGTTTCTCGTACTCGTGATTAGGAGCAGGCTTGTGTATCTGGCCATACCGATGTAAAGCTGCGGCTTACAAGTTTCTTCACTGGGCCTCAAATACTGAGTGTTTGAGACCTTTTTCGCCCTGTCGATCGGGCAAAAGCTTTCGCAATGTGGAGTGGAGGATTCGTGCGTGGCCTTGGAGGCTCCTTGCCATGGGGTTTCGGAGGTCGATTGCCTCCACCCAATGCCGTATCAAAGGGCGCTGAAGGTGCGGGAGAGGAAATGTCGAAGCCTGACGTCTCTCCAGAACGAGGATGGCAGTTTCCTCTCAAAGCTGGTCTGACGTCCGGCGGGCTCGCTTTCGTTGGGGACACAGCAGCCCAATTTGTCACTCGTTACAAGCGAAGCAAAGCCTCTCAGGAGCTCTCAGAGTCTCCCGAAAAGAAGAGTGTGAGTCCCAAGGCCACTCGACAGACCATTGATTGGAATAATTATGAATACAGTGTCCCACGTTCAGTGACTTCCTCAGCGCTTGCATGAATGCACGAGGTCATCAACCCTGTGGGGATGTTAGGTTTAGGGTTTAAAGAGTGCTAGTGCCCATGCTGTGTAGGTGGCCTGCGAATATGAGTTTTTTCGAGGCCTCTTCGTTTTCCCCATTGATGCATCTCGAACTCCCTACTCATTTTGACGTCTTTAGCCAGCCTTGGTGTTGATATATGTGCGCATACTTTCGACATTGTCTTGCAGCTTGACGCTGAGCTCTTTGGGTGTTTCAGGTTCTGAACGATGCAACTTTTTGGCAGCACGATTGGGTGAGGGCAGCGAGGATGGGGAGCTATGGTTTTCTCTGCTACGGGCCCCTGTCGCACATGTGGTACCAAACACTGGACAAAGCTTTACCCGTGAAGAACACGATGAACTTTCTCGTGAAGGTATGCAAAGCAAATCTGAACTGTTAGTTTCTTGAAGAGAGGATCTGGGATTGCTATTAGTAGTTTATTAGAAGTCTGTTCAATACCATCGGGACTTTCGAGATTGGCCAGTGATGCAAACAATATTTGCTACTCTTGATGGCTTCGCCAGCTGACGACAAACAATAATCACCAAGATCTTTGAGGCCATCTCGAAAGTCGCGAAGTTTGGATTGGGAGTGGTGCAAAGCTATTTGTTGAGATACAGGCCAGTGATTATACTCTTATCTGCTATTTCTATGAGCCTACGGGTCAATATGAAATGACTTTTTTCTACCACCAAGATATGAGGCCTACTATAATCGGACAGTTGATGTCACCGTTTAATGCTATAAAATGTCATACACATACTGAACCAATTCGCTTGTTCCAGGTTACACTGAATCAAATCGTTTTAGGTCCTATCGTAATTGCCATCGTATTTGCCTGGAACGCCGTGTGGACCAATAATCTTCAGGGTCTGCCCAATCAGTACAAATATCTGGCTCTTCCAACCCTCATGGACGGGTGGAAGTTCTGGACGCCTGTTACTTTTCTTAACTTCGGGTGAGTTCTTTCTATCCCTGTGAAGATTGGATGTAGTAAGTTGACTATTATCATGATTTGAAGACGGAATTGAACTAGCTGAATAACCTGCGTTGTCCCTACCAGGATCGTTCCATTGGAGGCCCGCGTCGCGTTCATGTCTTCCTGTGCTGTCTTCTGGAATTTCTACCTGTCGACCGCTGTCTCCAAGAAGGCTGCGTGAGGTAAGAACTCGAACGTTCTGCGCTGTCAAAGAGAATGTTGGTCGAACCGACTGACCTCCTCGCACACAGTAAAACTCATGTGTGCAATTTGGTATGTAGGTTGGGAGCGACCGTAACGGTCTCCGTGTGTAGTTACAACCGGTAACCTTTTAGTGCTATTAATCTGCATCCAGATGAGCTGAAGGTACCACATCCAGCGAGGCCAACTCTAGTTTCTATTCCAATTCATATTAGAAAGTATTCCAAGTTCAAACACTACCCCGTAACGTAATAGTCTACGTCCGCCACAATGTACCCTGTTCATTGAGGTATTGTATAGTTGCCTGAGTGTAGTTGACGTAGTATTAAACGCCGGGGTATCTTTGAACCGCCATTCTTTTGCCCTCAGCAGCCACGGGAGAGTTATCTGTCAGGCTTGAAGCCACTGTACAACACCGGCTTGGTGCCATATGTTGGTTTTAAGCCCAAACCTATTTGATTGATTCAGGCTATCAGTTGGAGCAGACAGTTAATAATAAAGTGAAGTTTAACCCACCCAGACAGAGCTGGTCCATCTCCCAGGTACGATGAAGGTGTGATTATTCCATGCAAGAAACTGCCAGATTAGAAATTAACCGGATCGTGCTGAACAGTTGTGCCTGTTAACCACAGCATAGTATAAGTTAGTAATATCTTGGTCGGGGATGTAATCATTCGAAGTGCACGGGAGGCCTATGATGAAGAAAATATTTGCTACTCTTGATGGTGTAATCCACATGACGATAAATATATTATCACCAAGATCTATGAGGCCTCCCATGTGCGAAGTGAAGTACATTGTAGACGACGAGATATTAACCTAGTTTGAAGACGAGGGAACAGAAAGATGAGTGAGCGTAAAACTACTTGCAAAAGAAAAAAGTGGAAGAAATGAAACGCTAGGAAAGAAAATATGCAATCACATATAGAAAAGGCGAAAGATCCCAAAAAAATTTATATAAAAACTGGAAAGAAAGAAAAGTTTCAAACTATGAATAAATATTTGTTAATATTTTATAGTAATGAGAAAATAAATAATTTTGCTAACAAGTGAACGAAAAATGAAGTGAAAAAACCATCAAGCACGAAAAGAGCAAAAACGATATAGATAAAAACACAACTAAAAAAAAGCCACGATAGAAAAAGAACGCTATATTGCCCCTTCTACCACAACTTATACTTTGGTCCAAATCATTAGCAATCTCCAACCCCAACACAATAACGTGCATACACCAGCGTCAAAGTTGCTTCTTTCACACCTTAATTCACCATGGAAACAACCGAATTTCCTGTGCGTCAACTTCCGCAGCATAACCAGACGGTGCACTGTACATATCTTGTCCTCCCTTCTAGGTATGAGAGTAAAAAACCGACAGGTCGAGCAGCCCAGCTCGAAAAGTGTCACCTAATGGTCAATATGAATACCTCATCTGTTGGTAGTGCACCAGGGTCTTACCTATGTAGTACAAATAACTAAGATCCATGGAAGTTTTATTCACACTAATCTAAACATGAAAAATATGAATGAAAATTTTATGATGAATTTCGGCCTTTACTACTCTGTAGAGTAAATTCTAATTCATTCTACGTAGTCAATAAGAATTTTTTCTCAATGATCACAATGGAACCGTAGCAAGAGTAGGAGGCTTATTGTTTCGCAGATTAGTGCAGTTTTCGCTTAGAACTTCTCGGAAATTGACGCGAAGTGAATATTGGGCCGAAATACACGTCGATATGCACAATGTGACACGGTAATGGCTATGATGGTGCAGAAGATTTCCAGAAGATTTTGAAGGCAAAAGCATAACATATCTATGATTTTGAATTTTACAACGTTAGATCATTTTACACAAAAAAACCTTTCAATTTTTAAGTCAAAAGCATAACATATCTAGGATTTTGAATTTTACAAGATTAGATCATTTTACACTAAAAGAAACCTTTCAATTTTTAAGTCGAATGCGAAAGTGCATCGGCCGGGAATCGAACCCGGGTCTGTTCCGTGGCAGGGAACTATTCTACCCCTAGACCACCGATGCTGGATACCTCCCGTCATATTTCAATATATTTAATCTCTATACCTATATTTTAAGAAGAAAGAAGCTCAGGCAACACATTGTCGTAAATATCATGTTCTTAGTAAAATTAGAAAATCACTGACTTAGCCGGGGCTTTTCCTTATCTTGCAGTTTAATTTTGTACACTCAGAACCTTAGAATAGGTCAAAACTATATAATATTCATATATATCATTTTACGTTTAAAAAAACCTTTTAATATTCACTTTATTATTTTTGAATTCATCATTAAAAAAATAAACATTCACTTCATTAAATTTGTATATGATTAGAAGAATAAATATGATCTCAAATCCAAACATCCTTATTTTTTTTTAAAAATTGCATAAATTATATATCTCGTTTCATAATATATCATAAAGCAAATTTGTATTTGATTAGATGAATAAATATGATCTCAAATCCAAACATATTTATTTTTTAAAAATATTGCATAAATTATATATCTCGTTTCATAATACATCTTAAAGCAAATCAACACTTTGCATATTAAAATTTTGAACCACATTGAATAAAGGAGATTATTAGTTTTGGTCTTCATGTGAATTTTATTCTTATAGTGATAACTCTATACATATTTTGATCAAATAGAAATATTTTAAGTGAGTGTTAGTTATTCTTCACTTTGAGCTAATTATCATTCACCCGACTATACTATACAAATAAGAGCTTTGTGATTGGTGAGAGCTCTCCATATATTTACTAGAGCTATATGATATAGTCTTCGTGGAATAGGGTAAAAGAGGGAAAAGTAGTGCGCAGCATGGGAACATTAGACTAGGGTGAGGGATAATTAAACTAAACTGAGTGATAATTATCCGCTTCCTTTTTTAATCTTAAAATGAACTCAAATCTATTTCCAGATACAAAATTATTGTCATCATTGTACTTCTTCTCCTGGCAGTAAGAAGACAAGTTGGGAGCGTGTGGAGAGGGTGCAAAAGATCTTCTTACAAGAAGAGTTAGGTGTAAGGAACCAAACTCCTTATGCTATTCTTCTTGCGGAAACCGGTTGTCTACCTCTTGAGGCTGAAGCTCTCTACTTGACCATCACTTATATTAGAAGGGTGAGATCTCTTGATGCTTCTCGACTTCCTCTTCATGCTTTGCGTGCCACACGTTCCAAGGGATGGTTTGCAGATGTGATGACTTGGTCTTTGAGGTGGAATGTGACGGAATTGGATTGGGATCTGCAACCTATGGCCCTTCGCGAGCGTATTAAGGAGGAGTTTCTCAACATCATTTGGAGGAGAGGAGGCACTAAAATGCAGTTTTATCAACTTCATGTGAATCCTATGCTTATTTATTGTGAGCAAGGGTACCTTGTTGCAGAGATTGCTACATCTTTACGTCATATTATTGCCAGGCATAGAACAGGATCTCATAGGCTTGGAATTGAGGAAGGACGTTGGTTGAATATTGATAGGAGTGAACGGATTTGTAGGCTATGTGATGGGAGAAATGTTGAGGATGAAGAGCATGTGTTTATTACTTGTACTAGATATATAGAGATTCGAGTGGCGCATAAAGTTGATGTCGAGAATTTCTTTTCTCTGCTTCAACTCGAGCCTTATGATTTAGGTTGTTACATTAGAGATATTATTAGTTACCGTTCTAGTGCTTTGGGCACTAGCTAGAGGGTTCTTTTGGTTCTTTCCTAGTTTGGAGTTGGATTGTTTGTATTGTGTTTTTTAGCCTTTTGACCCTTTGGGTCCCATAGGCTTGATCTATTTACCATTTACCATTTACCATTCGAATATACCAAGGAAGTCAAAGAATATGAAATTTTAAAACTCAAGTCACATTAAGTGCTATATATAATGAAAAAGATGCAAGATTTGATATCATCATATAAATCATTTCTATAATAAATAGAAAATCAACGAAGCACTTAAATTTTTTCTAAAAAGATTGTATATTAAAGCAAAATATGAAATAATGAATGATAAGAAATAAATAATGAATATATAAATGAAGCGTTTTTCTTTATTATTTATTTATCGTAGTTTCTCCCAGTATAGATGGTGGTAAACTATCTACTTTATCAATTATAAAAAAACTCACCCACAAGCACTTCAATTTTTCAATATTATGAAATATCAATAACAAGATTATCAAATATATCACTGACATCTTAGATTTTTGTATAGAAAACTTTCCTTTTCGAACTAATCAACTTCAAAGAATCATGCCACTTTTTGATAATTTTTTTGCATAAAATTTTTGCTAAAATCCCTAAAACAGCAAAGTAAAACTAATACACTCATCCATTTAATTCAAAATCGAAGGTTCAGATCATAATATAATGATGTTCATGCCTTGCTCCTGATGGTATTTTTTATTGTACTTGTTCAACGTGGACGTTTTAAACCTCAACCTCTTTTCCAAACTTGTAGAGTTTAATTTGTCTTTAAATTTGTATCAAAAAAGATAGTCATCGCAACCATAGTATATACTATGGTGAAATGATTATGTAATATTCATTTCTCCCGTCTTCATAGCACCATATTCTTTTATTAAAATGTGGAGATGTTACCCTTTGTTTTCTTGTTAATTTTTTTTCTTTCACTCATATCACTTATCCTTGTTCCTAACAGCACGCATTTGTATTGAGCTGGATCTAAGAGGTAGAAAAAATTTCAGATAGTGATGACGTCTGCTGAATGCTTCAGCAACTTTTTTCCAATGTCAATTTAAACAATGTTATCTTCAAGATCTTGTACGGAAAACGCACGAGGTTGCAGGTGAACACTTCAAGTGCTTTCAAGATGAATCTTGAGTCATCATAATTGATGAGTAAAGTGCTACTGGTTGATAGTTAGTTTCATACTCCCTGTCACTCACATTAGGTTTTATGTAATCTTGTTTTTTCACTTTGGTATACGGTGCCAACTTAAGCTCTTGCTTTAGCGGGAGTTCCAATAGTTTCCAAGAAGGTCTGCCCTATTAATAATGATATAATAATTGGTAAATGACTTAACTCTGTCTCTAAAGTCCGTTTTATCCCTTGATTTGTTTGTGAAATTACTTCTTGTGACTTCGGAAAATTACGTGTAAGGCAATTGATATTGGCTTCACTTTCATCGTTGGTGCCTCTGTTTACAACTTCAATAGCATCCACCTTCCCTTAGAAGCAATGCCGTCATCAGCTCATGTTTTGCGTGAAGCTTTACCTTCTTCACAATCTTTCTGCTATTTTACATCCTTCTCCTTTTCCTTCCATGTAAAATTATTGTGAAGTTCTGACTCAGATTGTGACTCCAGAATTGCTCTTGAAGAGATGGCATAAATGACGTCCTTTCTTGTAGATTTGTGGATGAGAAAAGTAGCCAATGAGCTTGTTGGAGTTTGCAATTAGAAAGGATATATCTCAGTGGCACGTCGATCTAATCTCGATATAGCTTCCATGTTCGAAAAAGGTTTTGTTGAACTTGCAGGTTCA